CCCCCCCCCTCACACACACACGTCTAAAAACATCCAGCCAAATACTGGGTAATTTGGGAAGTTTAGCATGTATAATGTTGTCTTATGGTTTTTCTTCAGGTGAATCTGGTCTGGGGAAATCAACACTTATTAACAGCCTCTTCCTAACGGACTTATATCCTGAGCGTGTGGTACCCGGCGCAGCAGGTGATTGAACTATATTGTCTTTTATTTCTACCTATATTTACACCTACATTATGCTCTGCAAGGGAACGTCTGTCAATGTGATTCAGAATTATTTACATTTATTTCATGATTTGAGAGAAATGTATGAAATAGTTTCACACTACATGGAAAGTAAAGGGCTTGACTACATTTTGAGATTTTATACCCAACCTTGGGGAAGAAAAAAAAAAAGAAAATCAATCCCATTTTTTAAGCTTGCAAGGCAGCTTGCATGCACCAAACCAATACCCTGGCTTTTTACCTTCACTGCACAGCATTGTAGTACCATGTGGCTTGAAGTCCCACCCCTTCCTGCTTACAGTTTTGTTTCCCAATTTGCTTCTCCTATTTTAGCAGCATCTAACTGTGTTAGTTATGCCTTCAGCATAAAGCCACAACAGAATGTTACAGTTTGAGGTGTGTAAATAAACATACACATTTCAGTAAGCTATAACCAGTTTGCCATTATTGGGACAGGCTTTTTTCTGACAATAGAATTCCTTAAAGGAGATCTCCAGTCAACATTTGTATTAATCCTTGCAGTAGGGCTACCCCTGCCCTGCAAGGGTTAATCGCTCGTTCGGGTCTAGGGAGGAAAATAAAAAAGTTTTATTCACTCGATCCTCAGCCAGCCAGCTTTGACACTGCACCTTTCTACCTGTCTCCTTCCCCGCTGCAGCGATGGTATGCCCCTCTGCGTCCTCCTGTCCTATACACTGTATATAGGATGTGATGATTCAGAGATCTTAGACCGCTGCAGTGCAGGAAGAGCAAGGCTGGAAGGACCAGTCTAAGAGCCAGCCGGCTGGAGGATCGGGTGAGTATAACTTTATTTTCCTCCCTAGAGCAAAATGAGCAGGTAGCCCCACTGCAAGGATTAAGAAAAGAAAATTTTTATTTAAACTTGGGGACATATTTATAAAGCAGTCAATGTGCCATTCACCAAACATTAAGGCCTTGTTCACACCGAGCGCGGAGCAGGTGCAGAGCAGTTACAGACCGGAGCAAAACTGCGTCCAATGTATTCCAATTGTATTTTTAGCTCCAGTTCACATCGCAGCGTTCAGTTCCAGAGCAGGTAAAAAAAACTGCAGCAGGCTCTCTTTTGCCTGCTCTGGAACGCATGCAAACACCTGGAACACACTGAAAGCCCATTTTAAACTAAAAAAAAACAAAAACGTATTTTTTTCCTTTTTATTTACCAAAAACGGCCCGGAACGCATCAAAAACGCGGCACAACCCACTGCACTGCGTGTGCAGAAACTCATGCAGATCTGCTCTGCATTTGGTGTGAACAAGGCCTAACAGTTTTTTACTCATTCCCTGTAATTTAAAACACACAAGGGAAATTTATCTACAGTGAATATTTGTTAAATATCACATTCACTGCTTTAGAAATATGCTCCCTAGAAGCTAGTGTAGGGACAAAGAAACCCCAAATACCATAATATTTATTTTGCTTATGATCCCGAATATGTTTCGTTATTTGTTCTCGCTGTTCTGCATTTTGATAACACTGTATTTGACCTCAATATGCTGAACTCTGTTGCATTGTCATTGGTTTGTTCATTTTTAAAACTTCCATAAAAATGTTATGATTGGAAAATAATTACCATTATATTTACTAGGGATGTCCCGATACCACTTTTTCAGGACCAAATACAAGTACTTCCCCTCATGTACTTGCCGATACTCAGCTTGTGGGAGGCGCTCACAATTCTGCCCTGCTAACATGAATAGGTTAAGTCATGATCCATAGTACATTTACAGCACACACGTCTAGTACACTGCAGTCTGCAGCAATAGAATTACAATTCTCCTCTGCTAACATGAATAGATTAAATGATCCATAGTACAACTATATATTATGTACTCTGGATCTTTTAACCTATTCATATTAGCAGGGGATAATTGTAAATCTATACCTGCAGTGGACTGGACGTGTGTAACATACATGTACTATGTACTACATATAGAGTACACTGCAGCAATAGATTTACAATTATCCTCGGCTAACATGAATGGGTTAAATGATCCATAATACAACTACCTGTTATATACTATGGATCATTTAATCCATTCATATTAGCAGGGGATAATTGTAAATCTATTACAGCAGTGTACTCTATATGTAGTACATATAGAGCACACACTGCAGACAATAGATTTACAATTATCCTCTGCTAATATTAATATGTTCTTAATAGGGACCTCCCTTGCCCTCACTCACTGTTCGATGATGGCCGCTGCCTCACGTTGTGCCTCGCTGGTGAGGTCGTAGTCGGCGCTGTGCGGGAGATATCGGTCCTGATACCTATGCTAGTACCGGTATCGGGACATCCCTAATATTTACATATTCATGTCATTTTTTTAAATTGGGATATTTTATGAAACCATTACCTGGTGATCCTGCCATGAAGATTCTTGTTCCGACACTTGCTGTTATAGGGTGACAACATGATTCCATATTGCTTTCCTGCATTTGTCACCTTTTACATATGTTCTTAGGGTGGATTGTTTGAGTGACCATGCTGATGTTCATTGTGCATACATTTTCCGCTGTTGTACCCATCAGAAAGATTGTCCTGAGCAGTGACTTAACGTACAACTGCTGCTAAAGTCCTGTAGATGAGAAACTTCTGCAAAATATATTTTCATGAGATGACATAATCCTATTAACATGTAAGACTAGATTGAAGTGGACCATGTACCATAAAAGATTAAACACCTAAATAGGGACAGCATCACACGATCATATTAGCATGGGTAGGATGTTGATCTGCTGTACAGAAATAGCCTTAGGTAACCAGAAGTTATGGGATATCGGCCAGTGGGTTACCATGTCGGATTGAGAGAGCCATTGGGCCCATACCCTTGGAAATTTGGCAGGGCAGCCCTTGTGGCCATACGGAAATGTCTTAAATGGTATTAATATGAGGCATCCAGGTCTCTAGGGTTGGTGGGAAGCTTGGATCCAGGTGTGTGCCACCTGCTTGTGTGCTGCAAAAAAAGTGTCCCAAAGGAAGATAGTAGTAAACTTATTCTAGATCTGACAGGAGGCAACTTTTAGGGTCCCAGGGGATTGTGGAGTCCATTCTGTTGCAAAGAAATGTAACTACTTGCCTCCAATACCCACGGATAATTGGACATGCAATATTTCAAATTTGCCTCACCAAACCGCTATACATCCCTTTTAGGATCTTTAGAGATCAGCCATGCCGTGCCCGTACTCATCCCAGCAATGTATGATCTTTACTATGGTTTTATGGGACTTTTTTTTTTTTTCTCCTGTTGATTCAAACCCAACTAAGTCATGCCAAGAAAGGGCTGCAGCAACACACAGGTTCTTATGCTTTAAAATCCTTAAAGAGATCTAGAGTTGTTTAGAGCTTCGAGTGTTCATTTTGCTCACAGAAAATTTGGTGTTTTCCTGATATCATATGATATGATATATCATATGATATCAAATATATATGATATTTGTCTTAGTTTGGAGACAAATAATGGTTACCGGGTTTTCTTTGATTTGGCTTGCCAAGATGAGTTCTAGATCGCATTAGCCTGGGATTTCTGTACATGTTTTCAGATTGTGCAGTTTGTTCATTATATGTTTGTTTAAAGCCAGTCTGTCATCCATGCTCACATGCCCTCATCTGTGTGTGATAGATAAGATTGAGCGTACAGTGGAGATTGAAGCATCCACAGTGGAGATAGAGGAGAGAGGGGTAAAGCTTCGTCTTACAGTGGTTGACACTCCTGGGTATGGCGATGCAATGAATTGTGAAGATTGGTGAGTAAAGGTTCTTAAAAACACATGTTGGTAATACTTTTGGGGGTTTACTTTAACATGGGGGGGGGGAGGGAGAGATTTCAACATATAAGTTAAGTTGCTTCAAATGAACAATATTTTATTTCAAAAGCACATGTTTTCAACCCCCGTAAGCTAAAAAATTTAAAGGATGCAAAGTTTTTCTCAAATTATCGAATTTCTGTGTGAATGTGGTTTCCAGCCAGATAAAATTGTATTTACTGTAAGACATGGGTTTGGAAAATTAACATTACATCACTTCCCTGCATTCTGAATTTGAAGATTAGAATTTGACACATTGCATGGCAATCAAGCAAAATATCATATGAAATTTGTCAGGTCAGTGATGGTGCCATCGAATTATGTGGCAAACAATTTTTCTTTTTCTTATGAACATTCATATGAAATTCTGCAGGTGTATGGCTAGCTTTACCCTGTCATTAATCGGCAGCCCTGGGCAATTTGTAAAATCAAATGGTCAAATGATGAAGTGCAAATACTATCCAGTGAACAAATGCAATCATACTAAAGCTAGAAAGTCCACAAAGTACCTTCATCTGCATCTATAAAAAAATTTGTACCTAGCTTTAGCATTTTTTCCCCTCACTGCTTCTTGGAAGGGTCACTTTCTCAGTTCACATAGTTCTGCACTGTGCAGCCTTCCTTCCCCGCTCCACAGTCTTAACTAGCAAAATGTATTAATTTAAATGTCAATTTCTAGTAAATCAGATTATAAAATATACAAACTGAGCAGTTCATATTGTAGAGAATACAACTACGTACATACAAAAGAGAAAGCTTGATCCTTTAAAATGTTGTTGTATCGATTAAGTGTGTAGTTGCTGATAAATGTTGCTTAGGGTCACAATTATGCCAGTGTTTGGCTAAGAATAGAATTTAAAATGGAACTGTGGCCAAGCTATGAACATTCAAATATTACATCTTTTTAGAAAGGGGAATTGAGCTTTAAAACAATTCTAAACATTCTAAATTCACTGGCTGTATCCTTGAATCGTGTTTTTAAAAGGATTTGTTTGGTAAATTGAATATCTATGGTGACTGCATTTAGTTGCTTCTGTAATAAGTCCGCTGCAAGTGTGCTAATGTTCCAACACCATGGACATTGCTTTTTTTTATATTGCATAGCAGTTGCACTGATTCCTTTAAAGCTCAAATGGCCCTTTATGTACACAGCCCTCGTATTTCTGCAGCGAGTAAGGCCAGGCGTGATAACTGTTGAGAGGAAGCTTGTACAAGCCAGTGCAACGCTGATACGGTCCACGGCTGATCGTATGGCTTAAAGAGTTATTACATGTGGCTAAGGCAGGGCTGAACAAATTCCAGGAGCCAGGTAGCAAATATTCCTTAAAAAATACAGCTTCCGTCCAACTTTTGAGGTTTTCTCTAGTTGAAAATGGAGCTGGCTCCCCAAAAAATCCTGCTGGATCCTGGATTGCATATTAATTTGTCCACCCTTGGGCTAGGGACAGATGAGTGTCCCAATGTGCAGCCTGTTTGCATTCATGGTTGCTCATCTGTGTCTTACCACAGGTATTCATTCCATGTGCGACTACAATGCGGTCAGCTGCGGAGCTTATCAGTGTGTCATTGATTTGTACAGGCGGAGAAGCCACAGCTTATCAGAAACACCCGGCCGTACCCACTGCAGAAGGGTGCTAATCTGGGCGGTGTACAGCCATGTGAATGGGCACAACTTTAGACACAGTCATCAGCCACTGATGACTGAAGAATCATCAGCCACTGATGATTCTTCTAGTTAGGCCTGCAACAATGTGGGAGGAAGCTGCTTTGAGAAATTGTTCTCCATCCTGGACTTCATGAACTGTGAGGCCTCCAAGTCAGGCAGTGAAAATATTAACCCTGTTTTATGTGGCGTTCCTAGGGTGAAAGCTAGGAAGGGTGGAGCTTCTGAACGCTACATACAAAATGCAAGGGAGACGTCACACATATGTCGTCTGCAAGGAAGGGGAAGTGGATGACTGAGATGCTATAGTAGGTCAATGACCTACATTATTTAAATGGAGCAAAGAAAACCATTTAGGGAACTAGTTCTGCTCCTCACCCTTTTCCTGCTGAGAACGTTGCTGCCCTGGAAGCTGTGTTGATGATAGTAATGTAGTTCATCAGTCCTTGAAAGCATCTGCCTGCAGCTGGTCTCTTCTCTGTCTTGATAAGATTGTAAAATTCCCTCAACTTTAATATTCACGTTTTTTTCAGCACTGGTGAGGGGAGTTGTGTTCTTCAATGTGTAAAGCTGGCTTTGCATATTGCTTTATATTTTACTTAGCTGTGTGCCAAAACATGAGCCAGCAGAAGAGCAGGCGTGTCAGGAGCTATGAGTTTATATTGTCCTGCACCAATATAGAACTAACCCATAGTGGAGTTGGAGTAGAATATTCAAACTAGTCGTCTTTTTTTATGGTAAATGTTGCCTTTAGTTGCACCTCTCACAAAACATGTCCATAAAACCTGTTTTGCAAACTGTCTACGGAACTCCGAGACTTTCAGTTTTGGACCAATTTAGATGTATGCACACATTTATTCTGATTTTAAGGTCTGTTTAATGCCATTGTTAAAGGCTAAGTTCACCTTTTTTTTTTTGATCATTGAAAGCTTGGCTATATGCCACTAAAGTCATCACGTACCTTTTTCTGAGGATTGTGAAAGCAGTGGCCAAGTCCTTGCCCAGACCCATCCTAATGATCGGTTTCCTTCAGTTCAAAATATCCAGTACTTTGTGGTCAGGCCGCCCTGTGCATAATTTAGGATAATAGAAGATGAGTCTGCAGCACTTAGTCGTTCAAGGTGCAAACCTAATCTTGTTTATTATAAATACGTCCCATAGGTTAAAATGCCAATGTTACGGGGGCCGCACAGGGTCCCTTCCTTAAGGCAACACGGTGACACCACTGTGTCACTGTGAGGAAGGGACTTTGCCTCTGCCGGGCCCTGAAAAGATGGCATTATGACCTATGGGATGTATTTACAATATAATTAACAAGATTGTTTGCATCTTGAATGATGGAGTGCTGGAGACTTATCTTCTATTATCCTGAGATCAAACACGGCACCATCCATTGTTGTCACTACAAGCACCACCCGACTTACCTTGGTCACATCGCTGTTTGGTGTGCAGCTGGCATTGATTTACTGTGCACAATTTAACAGGGTTATTCACAAAAAGGTGAAGAGTCTGGAGAAGGCATGAGAAGGGAACAATCTAGGACAACATAGCTGAACTGGAAAGTGAACTGAATTGGAGAATTTTTGCAGTTCAGTTATGTTGTCGTAGATTGTTCCCTTCTCCTGTCTTCTCCAGACTCTTCACCCTTTTGTGAATAACCCTGTAAGACTTATACACATGGACATAATGAAATTACTGATTACCTACACAGCATCTTGCTGGCAGAAGGATCCTGGGTAAAAAAAAAAAAAAATGCAGGAAATGGTCATCAAAGTGCTTGTGGTTACACGGGTATAAATGCATAAACATGCGTACAGCGTTCAGACACATAGGGCTACATGTACATGGCCGTAAGATGTTTACTGATCACATACGCATGTTTTTTCTGTCCAAAAGGTTTCAGCAATAAATATCCGTAAAATTAGAAAATTCTAAATATTGGGTTGTCGGATGAACAGGAATAGAGGAGAACCCTTCCAATGGGGTGGATTACCTCACTTTGGAGAGATTTCCTCTCACTTCCTGTTTAGTGAAGGGAAACCTCCCTTCACAAGGTGTGACAGGGGCTCTAATCAAAATTGTGTGTATCTTCCTGCACTCCTTACCGGATCTCCTAGGAGATGATGTCTGTAATAGGGTGCTTGTAGTGACCACGGAGGCACCGTGTAGTCAAGTAGTAATTCCAAAAGATGTCACCAGCACTCCAAAAGTAGATTCAATATATTTTAATGACAACGGTCATTCAAAATCACAAGTACTTTCGGGGCCACGTTGGGTCCCCGTCATCAGGCTCAGAGGGGCTCTAATCATTCCCTAATTTATCTACAAAAGTTTTGGCTTTAGATCTTTTCTACCTTGCTATCCCTTTGACGGGTCACAATTGTATGTGGGAGTGAATCTCAACGAATGGGGACACAAGTCTTTTTTGATACATTGCCTATTGGGGAGCACATGACAGCTCAGAACTAGCATTTTTGCGGGGAACAAACCTATTGGGTTATTACTGGTACCAAGTACCATCTGTGGGCATTTCCGATTCCCTCCTCCATTGCCCTAAACAGGAGTGCCCATGCAGCTTGTACTGCCATACTCGTTTTAGTATAACGTGCCTTCTATGAGAAATATAATGATACAAGAAGTGGCCTTAGACAGCAAATGCCATGTATATAAAATCAGTATTATGTTCTCTATGAAACTTTTTTGTCTTTTGCTTTTTTTTTTTTCTCCACCAAAACAGTTTCAGGCCCATTATTTGCTATGTGGATGACCAGTTTGAGCGATATCTTCATGACGAGAGCGGTTTAAATCGGCGGCACATTGTGGATAACCGTGTGCACTGCTGCTTTTACTTCATTTCCCCCTTCGGTCATGGGTATGTAAAGGTCATATTTATCTGTTGTCGGGTCACCTCTATATTAATGAGCTGCTGTTGACATCTCAGTATAATTAACAAAGTCTAGAAACCCAAATCCATATGTCAATATGTGTATATAGGATGATGTAAACAGGCACGCCTAGTATTGACATTGTTTAAACTGTAAATTCTCATACACGTATAATAATATAGTTGTATCTGTTCTCAGTTTGAAGCCTCTTGATGTGGAGTTTATGAAGGCTTTGCACAACAGAGTGAACATTGTTCCTGTCATTGCCAAGGCTGATACATTGACTCTGAAGGAACGGGAAAGACTGAAGAGAAGAGTAAGAACTGCATGTTTACATTAACTATAGGGATGAAAATGCCATTTAATTTTGTGAAACTGTTCCTAATGACATTTACAAATGTGCCTGTAATAGTATCCTACCTGCAAGGACTATGGACCGGGGACAACGTGTCCGCTCTGCACACAAAATTCCTCTCCCACCTTAAAATGTCCTAAATCTCACATTACTTGTTTTCATCATCTACCAAAATGTATAGTGTTTGGATATTGGTGGTTTGGTTTTAAAAGCTCTTCACTCGTAATGCGGTCTTGGTAATTTAAAGGATAAATGAACTTTTAAACAAAGTGCACTTATCTCCTTCCCCCCCCCC